AAAGCAGTGGAAGGTTTAAGGAAAAATGACACGATCAGAGTTACATTGTAAAAGAAATATCTAGCTGTTGTTTTGAAAATAGACCTCAGGGACGTATGAGCGGTAAAAGAAAGGCCGAAATGGATCTATTTGTAGTGTCTAGATGAAAGATGGTAAAATTTTTTACCTAGAGGCTTTGACAAGAGTTGGTGAGAAGTGTTTGGTGCTAGATATATTTTGATATCAACAACATATACAGGAAAATTGGGTGCAGAAAGAAGAAATTGTTTTGCTTACCTCTCCCCATTGTTGGTTGTTCACAGAAGAAAAGATGGAATTATTTAGTGAAACCAGGAACATTTGGAATTGTGTAGCACGGACTCAAAAAGTACCACAAAATAGTTGCATTACACACTCTGGCCTTCAGAGCAGAGGTCAGGACCAGAGAAATGATTTTAAGAGATATCAGTAAAGATGGTATTTAAACTTGTGAGCTTAGGTGGAATCACTAATTATAAACAGATTACAAGAAAGAATCAAAGACTAAGTGCCATAGTGCTCCTATATTAGAGGCCAGGAGGTGATGTACTGGTTAAGTTACGAGTACTAAGGGAGAGATTGAGAATGGGGAGCTAAAGACTGGGAAGGAAATAAGGATAACATATTGTCCTGGAAGTCAAAGGAGTGGTTCTCCCCCTTTTCTTTCTTACGGTGCCGCTAAATATATGTGACAACTGCAAATTTGTCATTTTGGTTAGTAATATAGGTAATATTAATAATGAAGGACACTGGCGACCATTCCAAGAATAATTTCATTGGAAAATAAAGAATTCCATTGGAATAGTAGGAGTATATAGGACAAAGGTTTCTTCTGACTCCACAGTGACTTTGTCCTGTTCTAACAACACTTAGAGGTACTGGGGCAGTAGGTAAGGGGTTAAGGCTTTTTTTTCATGTAACTAACCGAAGTTTGATCCCCACACTTTATATAGTCCCCATTTTTCATAGGTATCATATGATTTATTCCCTTTCTCCAAATACCTTTGAATTCCCGTAGAAGACAAAGTGATATCTATTAGGTTATTTGAAAAGTTATTTTAATTTTACTTTCTCTCTCTGAAATAACCTATTAGGAATTATTATATTTAGGAGGTTCCCATAAGACTCAAATGCTCAGATTACCTGGTCATGTCTAAAAATAATACCATCTGCTACATATGCATTATTCTATCTCCTGACATCATCTGACTTTCAAGTTATATTCCAATAAACTTTTATTTCAAGTGAGTTTCTCCTCCTCCTCTCTCCTCCTCCTCCTCCTCCTCCTCCTCCTCCACCTCCTCCTCCTCCTCCTCCTCCTTCCCCTCCTCCTTCACTCTTCCTCTCCTTCTCCTCCTCCTCCTCCTCCTCCTCTCCCCTCCTCTCTCATCCTCCCTCCTCCCTCCTCCTCCTCCTCTTCCCTGTATCATTTCTCTGGTCCTCTCGTATGAAATTTTATAATGTGCAACTCCATCCATTTCTATCAATCATTTTAATGTTTTAGATATATGATAATGATAGCAGGCTTCACTCGCTCATGCATTGTTTCACTAGACAAATTTGTATAATGGTGAGAATATAAAAAATAAAACTCCTCCCGCAAACTACAGCAGATGTAGTAATAGAAATAGAAAACACCTAACAATAAGAGATAACTAGCCATATTACAAATCTAATTACTAGAGGCATAAATCACTTTTAAATTGTCTCATTGTAAAAGTGAAAAACCACAGAGGTTCTTATCCATCTGCGAAGGAAACATGGCCTGTATAATATTCTTGTATCTTTAAAAACAATTATTTGGAAGGGTGGAATGCAATACTGAATCAGTCCTTTGAATATACATTGAGATATTCTGCATGTGATTCTCCTCCCTCTCCCCTCTGAAGACCAATTTCAAAGAAGAAAACAAAAGTGTAATTTTAAAAATCTCAGACCCAGGTTGTAAATAAGGCTGATAGTTTCAGCTAAAATGAATTCCTTTGACAGCATGAGTATACATCCACCAGAAGCCTGTAATGGAATCAGTTCAGGACACACTAGACTGCTGCAGATTTCCCATGGCTTCACAGCAAGACCAGGTCAGGCTTGAGGAGTGACACTTTTCATCTTTCTGAAGATAGACACCCTCCAGTTGCCACTTCACAGGAGAGCAGGAAGTAAGCTCAACTCTCCAGTGGATGTGACTCCACACAGCATCGTGCCAGTAGAAATATCCTGTCCAACTTTGTGACTTATTTTGAAGGAGAAAGGGGGATTAAAAAAAGGAAGAGGGGAGGTGAATGATGGAGGAAACTGCACACAACATGGCCAAACAGCTGGCTGGTTTATGTCCCAGAAACAGCTTGGGACTAACTATATTCACAAGATCTCTTGGCAGAGCAGTTTGATGAAAATACCAAAACTGTGAAGTGACATGTTCTTTTGCTGAATCCTTTACGTAGCTATCATATGTTTTATGATCCTAAAGGACAACACGTGTACCATTTAAGTAGATTGAGCTGTCTGTTTAAGTGAGGCGCTTCCAGACGCCATGTACAGCACAATGGATGCTTTGTCAGAATATCAACGCCAAGTAAATCTTGATAATTTTCAGAAGCATTAATCTTGGTCATGTAGTGATTTTTCTCCTTTCAGTCAAGTGCGAGAGTTGGATGAAAAAGAATTTTTAAGCATGAATACAAGGTACTGGCAAGTTTTTGGAAACCAAAATTTACCTCCATAGGAAACTAATTTTAATTGCTTCATTCATATATTTATTCTTTTAACTGTAGTTGATACCTTTCTGATATCATGAAACAACTTAATTTGAATCCTTATCTTTGGTACACCTGCAAGATGCCAGAATTTTGGAATACATAGGACATGCTTTGCTCTTTTTGAAATGTTTTCACTGGTGTCTTTCTCGAGTCTTTTCAGCTCTGACCCCTTTTGAATCTTGTTTCCTTTCTTTGTCTCCCTCCCCATCCCACTGATTGACCCCCCGCCCGCTTTTCTATCATGGACCTCATTAATGTAGTTTCCATTCGTGAACCTCTTGGAATATCCTTGGGAGTTTTCAGGGGGCCATAAAGCCCTTGGTTGAAAAAAGCTGCATTAGACGGAGGGTATTTATGGATGCAACATTTTAGGGAAACCTATATTCCATCAACCTCAAATAAATTAATTTAAATTATTTTTTCCAAACTATTCAGGAGCATTCAGTTAATAAAGTCTTTACTTTTTTTTTATCATATTTTGCCTACATCTTTGTGACATCAATTCGTTTCTCATCTCAGAGTTTGCTGCATTTATTTCTCCAGTGAGCCAAGTGGTTTATTGGCAGTCAGTTTTTAAAATGCTCTCAGGGATTATCTAAATGCAGGATGTTAGAAATGAAAGCAGGTATCATTGCCGGTTCTGTCAAAAAGCGTAATTAACACACATGATATATCATCTTCAGAAGTGGATGAATATTCCAGAGGTGACCTCAAGTCAGTTTCCTGTGAACACACGGGCTGAGTGTTGTATTTATGAATACAACAATTTCTGCCTGGTACTTTTGTGTATTTCTATCTCTCTAGCCTGCTAGGTGTGGGCACACCTGTGTGTGTTCAGTCCAAGGGCAACTCTCAGTGTCATTTCTTTTGCACTCTTGATTTGCTTAATTGATTGTTGGATAATAATGTAATTCCAAAGTATGAGAAAGTGAGAAAATAATCTAAGAGTATGTTTCCCCATTCTTTTTAAATGAAATGCCTAATTAACAGCATAATCTTATGTTTTAGTCATTCTCACATTAATGAATGTTAGGTTGTTTCCAGTCTTTTGCTGTTACATACACATAATATCTGAAGAGTAATGTCCCAGAAATGGGATTTTTGGATCAAAATCCCATGCATTTTATATTTTGCTAGCTTTGACTAAAGTCACTTTCATAGCTGTGTATGCTATTTAATTCTTGTTTCTGTAAGTATATGATACTGACGTTACTTCTGCACATGTTACCAATATAATCAGTGTCTGTGTAGTTTGGGAACCTGAAGAATAAAAATTTTTATTAATATTATTTTAAGCAACTGTTTTTTTCCAGCGAGGAGGTTCAAATATTATAAAAATTGACAGTGAATTATATCTCTCTTTGAATAATAATATCCTTTTACTTCTTTACTTTCTGTGTTACTGGTCTCTTGTTGATTTATAGGCATTCCTTACATACTTGGGAATTAATTCCATTATTTGTGATAGGATATCTTTTTATCAATTAACTTATTGCAAATAATTCTGTTTTTTTTGAAAAATGTACCTTGTACATTGTACAAGTGTACCTTGTACAGTATACCTGTAGTATTATACTTTAGTTCCTTCTTGTACCTTTGGTACAAGTAGTACCAATTAATATAGGTTTATAATATGTTGCAGTTGAACATTAGTCTTCTTGATCTTTTAATTTTTGAGAAACAGCCAACAACATATTATCCTACTTAGGTCTCTCACAGTCATTATAGATTTGTCTAATTTTTCTTGTAATATTCCAGTTTCTGCTTTCTGCAAAATATATAACTAGGTATTTTCAAGCTCCAAATCATTTTAAGTTCCTGTTAGGTTTCTGTTCTTATATATTTGTAACTTTTTAAACAACATTTTATGGCTTCCTATTTTTTAAAATCAGATTCTTAATTAATTTTAGAGTACAATAATTTTCAGAAAGAAAATGATAAGAATCAATAAAAATTCTAGGACTGCCAGCTAGAGGCCATTCCTTAGAATGGAGAAATAGTCATTGCAGTATATGGAGAATGACTAAAATATAAGCAAATGTTTCGCCTGTACATATTCACTAAAATTCCTGAATTACTTCACTACATTCACTGAGTAAATATGAACCAGCATTTACTAGACTAACTTGCAGTAGGTGAACTTACCTTTATTAAGAAAAAAATTTAAAGTATTCTATATTTAATTTTATGAACTAATTCTTAAATTCTTACCACATTGTGTAGATTCACATCTCTTTGATCAATGGAAGACCAAGTGCTGATGATCCTTCTCCTGAGCTGTTAGAATTTACTTCTGCTCGCTACATTCGTCTGAGATTTCAGAGGATCCGCACCTTGAATGCAGATTTGATGATGTTGGCTCACAAAGACCCAAGAGAGATTGACCCCATTGTCACAAGGAGGGTAAGTTATGATGGATCATATTGGGTTTTGTGAATAATATTAGACTCATCTTTTTAATTTCCTGATAAATAATTTAAAAATATGCTTCAATCTTTCACAGTCATTGCTATAAAATATTTAAAAACTCAGTAGACCATTCTTAGTTTAAATCCAAAATCTGCTGATTAGTAGATATTTTGTATTTATTAATATTTTAAAAAATAATTAAAAAATATTACTTTTTCTTTTTTAAAAGGGAGTTTATAATAACTACTTCTGTTTTTTTGAGGCTTAAATTAGTTTTTTGTCATTTATATGACTTGTGTACCATTATACTGCAGATGATGAGGTGCAATAGGAACTCCATGGGCATTGGGATATTTTACTTACAACCTACACTAAGAGATATATTTTGGGGGCCAGAGAAATAGGACAGGGATACATGCTTTGCATGCAGCTGATTCCAGTTCTATTCAACATCAAGCACTACATAGCATTGTTGGGTGTAGCCCTGGTGAACCCAAATATCCTGGGGATGGCCTGGGTAATTCTCTTCACTTCAGAGATGGGGCAAGTCCATTTTGGGACTCTTGCATTGAAGCACCTGATGGATTATTTAAAAGATTGCTCAGAAGTCTGGTGTCTTTTGAGCACTGCTTGAGATGCAAAATAAATTGACATCATAACATATTATACACATATCACACATGCAAACATAGTAATACATCTTACATTTTAATGAATCGGGGATGATCTAAGTCCCCAAGTGATTGCTTTTGCCACAATCAGAACATTTTCTCCTATCAAAGAAATTGTTTTTATTCTTCATTAATGAGTCATAAGCTAGCTTAGAAAAATACTGCTGTAGGGAAAATTGATTTTTGTATACTGTTTATAGCATACTTTTAGCAGATTGACAAAAAAAGAAATTAATAGTGTTGTTTTTCAGTGATAAAATATAATTTGTGGGATTATGACATAGATGAGTATGCCACGTTACTAAGATAGATCATTGTTTTTTCCCAGCACATTCTGATTTATGCTACTTCGCTTATTTGCTGTTCACAACCAATATATTAGCAAGAAATTCAATTCAGCTATAAATTTATAATGCAAATTCATAAAAATAGAATATCTTCTGCGTGGCTAGAAGTGAACATTATAAGAGGGATTGCAATTAGTGAGAAACTAATATTGGGGCAAACAGATTTAATTCTAGAATAAGTCTTCTAAGTCATAGTATTGTAACTATTATTGCTAAGTGGCCAACCCAATAAACTAAATATTGAAGGATAGTCCTTTTCACAATTTTTCACAATTTATGACTATAACTCACATATTTTTCTTTCCTTTACTCATCCCGCCTATGTAAAACACTCCTATTATTACTAATCAGCATTTTATGTTATAGCATTCCCTTACAACTCTTTTAAGATGTCTTAGTACTTTTTATGTTTCCAAACTTAACTTAACCAAGTATTATTCTTCAGCATTTTATACATTTTATTTTGAAAAAATTCTTATTTTACCACAAAGTTTAGATTCCTCGCTTTCTAAGAACAATTTTAATTACAAATTTGTCATGAATTAAAAAATATAAAAGGCCCTCCCGTTGATCGTCGATTTGCTCGAGCGGGCCCAGTAACGTCTCCATTGGAGACTTTGTTGTTACTGTGTCTGGCATATCGAATACTCTCGGTAGCTTGCCGGGCTCTCCGAGAGGGGCGGAGGAATCGAACTCGGGTCGGCCATGTTGGCCGCTTGTAAGGCGAACGCCCTACCCACTGTGCTATCGCTCCAGCCCTAAAAAATATACTCTGAGAAAAACTGAATAAATTTGAAGTGAAATTTAATTTTACCTGACAGTGTATATATCAGAGAAAGAAATCAATGGAAACAAATGTCTTCCTTTTATTTTGTAGAAGGTAGATGTAGGGGAAGGGCATATATCTTTTATTTATAGTTTTATTAACCATGAGTCTTTAAAATGGCACAGTAAAATCCAGCATAAAATATTTTCCTGGTAATTATTGACACTATATATAAATTTAAAATATAAAAAAGAATATCTAATACTTTTCATGATTCTAAAGCAAAGAATTAAGTTTATATGTAAAAAATATTTTCCAATTATAAAGATGCCAATAAATTTATTGTATTGGCTTTCTGTTGTAAGTATCTATATCTGTAGGTAAACAACTTTGGTATTACTTAAAACTCCTAGCAAGTTGCATTTTTTAAGTTCATCTACAAAGATAATGTAATGAAAATCATAAAAGGTATTTTATACATCAACTAAAACATTTTTTTGTTCCACACCCAATTGTGTTTAGGCTTACTTCTGACTCTTAATTCAGTGCTCACTCCTGGCTGGGCTCAGGGACAATATGTGATACCAGGGATTGAACCCTGGTTAGCCATGTGCAAGGAAAGCATTTTAATCATTGCTTTATCTCTCAGCCAGACAATAAAAAAAAATTTTAAATATAATAAAGGAAATGGTATAACAAATTTCTAGTTAGGAAACTCATATTTGAATTTATATTCTTTATATATCTTTTAGAATTCATTTTTCATATAAATAGTTTCAGATAAAACTACCAGATAGTTATTTGTATTAATGTTAATGAGAAGTATTCTCACCATTGGAAAATGTTATAGGCACATTAGCTGAAATGTTAAAAAATTCAGTTCTGTAATTGTAATTTTTAAATGGTAGCACTGTAGCACTGTCCTTCCATTGTTCATTGATTTGCTCAAGCGGGCCCAGTAACGTCTATTTTTAAATAGTTAAAATAATTATAAACATGATCCTCTGTTAAATCAAGTAAAAGGATAATTGCATGGGCATTTTGACATAAAAACAAAAATTTTCCATACAGCTTATTATTTATGATAAATTAGTTTTTAACTTATATTTTAATTCTTACTATTATTAAGATATGTATTATTTGGAGTAGGAGTATACTTACTCTTAAAATTTTTGATTCTATTCAATCCTTCAAGTAAAACAGCTTGTACCTAATTCCTGAGTACCAAAGATCTGGTAGTGACCATAAAAGTCACTTTCTTTTAAGAAAGTAAATTAAAAAACTTTATGAAGAATTCTTGTTCTGTCCGCCAGCTTTTCCTCATAACAACTGGCTTGCAGACACTCCAAAATAAACTTTGAACTGTCTGTGGAAAGGAATTTCTAGTATTTGCATCTAACAAATATAAATTAGAGGTGTTCTTTATTTGGATGTTATTACAGTGTAGGGACATACTCTGCCCCATTTATGAGACCACAGTTATCTTGGCGACACACAGATGTGCTTCAAACGAAGAATAAAACCAGAAAGTAAAGATTTTAATCAAGTATTTCCTTTTTAAGCTTTCTTTTACCTTGCAATCATCTTAACAGTCTCTCTGAATTGCCTTTTGCAGTATTACTACTCAGTCAAGGATATTTCGGTTGGAGGGATGTGCATCTGCTATGGTCATGCCAGGGCTTGTCCACTTGATCCAGCAACAAATGTATGTATATTTATAGGATGCTTAAGCAAAATGAATCCCAAACTGTGAAATGCTTCCTTAGAGGCTCTGCTGACAGGGCCACTGTGAATGGGTGTCAGGTCCCCATTTAGATGTTGTAACAGAAAGCCATGCCAGGGTGAAATAGAGCTGGCATTAGGATGATAGACTTTGAAGCCAGCCTTCACAGAATCAGAAAACAGATTAGGTTTTTTTTTTTAAAGACTCCAAACTCGTCTATCTGTTTTGAAACCTCTCTAGCTATGACAGCCTGAAACATGATTTAGCTTTGGAGAATGCCTGCCATCAATCAACTCAACCGTATCTTTCAAAAGTTTTCATCAAAAAAAAATTAATGCAAGCAAATGAAAAATGTACATGGATGTAAATGTAAGTGTCCATGGAACTGGGCGCTAAGGTAGGGCAGAAAATGAATAGGGTAGAAGAGAATATGCAACATATCTGACCAGAAAATGATGGAGTGCTTTGTTGTCCAATTTTTCATTAATAGCATTGTATTAAGTGAATATAATCTAAAAGAGATGCACGGGCATCTGTTGTTTTGTCATAAACTGGTAAATATATTGACATCTACTGCAGAGTAAGTTGAAGAAATGTATCAATAGTAAGATCAATGAATGTAGATCAATGAATGTAGCAACCTATGAATAGATTTCTTTTCCCCACAAAAACTGTAGTGCCAGTGGCTTTCTCTCAAAGCTTTGAGTAACACATCATACTGTTACCTCCTATGAAAGGTTCAAATATTCTGTTGTATTTTGGGGGAAATATTGTAGTATGGTTATGTGATAACTATCAGGCAGATGGATAAACAATGTTTCCCCAGCTTTAATTGCTGAGGAGGCCTTGCGGACTGATTCCATGTCATGAATTAAGACTGCACTTAGGGGGGCCAGAGTGATAGCAGGTAGGGCGTTTGCCTTGCATGCAGCTGACCTGGGTTAGATCCATGGCATCCCATATGGTCTCCCAAGCACTGCCAGGAGTAATTAATTTCTGAGTGCAAAGCCAGGAGTAACCCCTAAGCATCGCTGGGTGTGACCCAAAAAGGAAAAAAAAAAAAAGACTGCACTTAGAACTTAGATTATATAGTCCCAGAAACAGTTGATTGTATTTTCTGAATTTACCCAGGCATCCTTCTTCTTACACCCCAAATTATTAATCATATTTTAAGGATCACCTGAAAATGGATAAATCTAGTTCAGAATACTTTCTCTGATGCTGTTTTAGGCATAGCACTATAACACTGTTGCACTGTCATCCCTTTGTTCATGGAGTTGCTTGAGCAGGCACTAGTAAAGTCATTGTGTAACTTGTTACTGTTTTTGGCATATCAAATATGCCACAGGGAGCTTACCAGGCTCTGCCATGCGGGCAGGATACTCTCGGTAGCTCTCTGGGATCTCCAAGAGGGATGGAGGACTCAACCCCGGGTCAGCTGTGTGCAAGGCAAACACTGTGCAAAGAAAAAAATATCGGTTTCAGTTCCCCTCACAGATGGACTTCTGATCACTTCCAAGTCTGAACACAGTGATTCTAGAACCAGTCTGGGCTCCCTAACCTGGTGTAGATCCAGTATACCCACTGGCTCTTCCTTTAACCCCCACTGATCGGAGTGTGTCATATTCAATGGATCTTTTCCCTTTTCTTAATTTTGCCCCCTCTCCCATTTGTGCTTTTTTAATGCTAAAAGTATACTTCCCTCCACTTTTAATCTAGAAATCCCGCTGTGAGTGTGAGCATAATACGTGTGGAGACAGCTGTGATCAGTGCTGTCCAGGATTCCATCAGAAACCTTGGCGAGCTGGAACTTTCCTAATGAAATCTGAATGTGAAGGTATGTTCCATAGAGGCCAAAGGCATGAACAATTTTTCTTTCCTAGAACAAGATAATATTAACATGAAATAATATCTTATCTTGGCAATAGCTAGTTCTTTCACCCAAATATTTTACTTCCTGAAGTTTTCAAGGTTTTATTTCTTTCCCCAACATGGTAGATATTTACCAAGCACTGTGCTTATATCACTGTGAAATAATGTTAATTTGAAAGAAAAAAGAAGGGAGGGAGAGAGAAAGGGAGGAAGGGAAGGAAGAAGGGTGGGAGGAGGGAAGGAAAAAAGGAAGGAAGGAAGGAAGGAAGGAAGGAAGGAAGGAAGGAAGGAAGGAAGGGAGGGAGGGAGGGAGGGAGGGAGGGAGGGAGGGAGGCATAGGCAACACATTATACCTTATGTTAACACCAGCTTATTACTTGAAAAATTGTACTCAGATTAATCAATTCTACTTACTAAATGGTGATAGTATGATAGTTGTTGGAAAGTAATAAAAACAGTATGAAAAGAAATGGTAAGGCACCATGTTTGCAGGGAAAAAAAAGGTATTTAAATAAGAAGCTTATAAACCTAATATTAGAAAGGGCATTACTGTCAATCATTAACATGAACTCTATTTAACAATCCCTGGATAGTAAGAACAAAAAAAAATTCAACATAAGAAATAGTAACACTGCACTGTCCTCCCGTTGTTCATGGATTTGCTTGAGTGGGCACCAGTAACATCTCCATTTTGAGACTTATTGTTACTGTGTTTGGAATACCATATATGCCACGGGGAGCTTGCCAGGCTCTGCTTCATGGGCGGGACACTCTCAGTAGCTTGCCAGGCTCTCTGAGATGGACGGGGGAATCAAACCCAGGTTGGCCCTGTGCAAGGCAAATGCCCTACCCACTGTGCTATAGAACTGGCTGACCAGAACTGTGTCAACAATACTCATTTATACTCTGATATCATTTTTGAAGGCCATATCTATATCGATTTTTTTTCCAATGGGAAATAACCAGAAAGTGTAGCAGATGACTTTATAGCTTCATATTGCTGTATGGCTCAACCTGGTAGCAGGGAGATTAGAGAAAGTTTTGTTTCTGAAAATTTGTTGAGGCCAAGATGAAATCTAAATTCAAAAGTTGTCCTGCGTTATATTTCCAAACTAGCCCCAGAAACTCCATTAATTGAGTGAAAATGTTAGTTACATATGGCACAGCAGGTAGGGCTTTTGCCTTGCATGCAGCCGACCTGGGTTCAATTCCTCCATCCCTCTCAGAGAGCCCAGCAAGCTACCGGGAGTATCCCACCTGCATGGCAGAGCCTGGCAAGCTCCCCGTGGTGTGCTTGATATGCCAAAAACAGCAACAAGTCTCACATTGAAGACATAACTGGTTCCTGCTCGAGCAAATGGATGAACAATGGGAGTACAGTGCTACAATAAAAAGTTTTGGTAGGTGTTTCTAACTCGGTTACAGTTACTCGGTTACAGCACTGTCTTCCCGTTGTTTATCAGTTTGCTCAAGTGGGCACCAGTAACATCTCACAACAAATTATGAGACTTGTTACTGTTTTTGGCGCATCGAACACATCACAGGTAGGCTTTGCCAAGCAGGTGAGATACTCTCCGTAGCTTGCCGGGATCTCCAAGAGGGGTGGAGGAATCAAACCCAGGTCAGCTGTGTGCAAGGCAAATGCCCTACCCGCTGTGCTATCGCTCCAGCCCAACTCGGATTAGGATTAATCATATATATTTATTTACTAAACATATGTTGATCCAGAAAGATAGTGCAAGAAGGTAAGTTGCTCACCTTTCATGTGCCCAACCCAGACTGTAAATAGTTCCCTGATCACCTCCAGGAGTGTTCCTTGACTGCAGAGCTAAGGGTAAGCCCTGAGCACAGCTAGATATTAGGTTGTTAAAATGGTGAAAAATTATTTAGAGTATCTTCTATTGTAAAATATTCTCCAACAACAAAGTTGACTTTCCTTTTAGTATAAGATTCTGCATATAATATCCATGCCATGAATTCCTTCATTTTTAGTACTTAACTTTTTTTGTCTATTGATAAATGGCAGCTTGTTTCTGAAGCTAATGTGGTTTAGAAATTATTCAGCCTTGCTGAGACACATCCAGAAGAATGCCCGCCACCACCACTGCCAACGTTAAATTTGCATTGGATGCCAAGCCATGGTGTTCTCAACTATTCTGAAGGCATCAGAATGCCTTCCCCGGGTTCTGAAAACTTTGCAAGGAGAGCCATAATTCATTCCAAAGAATTAATTTAAATTCACTGCTCACCATGGAGAATTGCTCTCAAACTTCTTTAGATTTTAATTACATTTCTATTTTTATTTATTTATTTTTTTGTGGAACATCAGCGATCACAAAAGTGAATACCATCTGAGGGTAGAAATTCTTTCAGTGGCCTCTGATATTTAGGTAGTGGTGACTGGATCCAAAAATTTTTTTGCCACTCTCCACATTGTACACAAGTGTTTCAGTCAGGAAAAAGAGAGGGTACATAGATCAGATTTTATCAGTATATATAGACAAAGGAATGTAGAAGATGATTTTTATTTGATACTATGTAAATTTAGAATGCAAATTGTAAAAAAAATTGCATATCTTTGTGGGACAGATGGGAGGTTGTAGTTCCAAATTGCAATTAAGTGTTTTTTTTTTAACACTCAGAAATTAAGAATGGCATCTTAAACACAAATCCTTGTGTAAATATTGTTCTTTTTGGCAATTTGCTTACTCCTGACAGCTTCTATAATTTTTTTTCTAGTTGAATAGTTCTGTAATCACCTTAATATTTAGAAAAATCCTCGAGTAACATGACAAATCCCTTCATAAAATGATTAATCACTCCTAATTCCTTTGAGTTTAATTTGGATTTTCATCAGTCTAATTTATTTGAGAGAGGGTGTATCTCTCATGTGCAAGAATATTTATCCCATCACTAGGCTTTAACTAAAGACAGTTTCATATCATATGTCTTGGACAGGCTGAATAGAAAACTGTGAAGAACGGAGCAGAAACGCTCTGTAGAAGAGCACTTTCTATTCATTTCCACCAAGGCAATACACTGTGAATGCATTCCACCTTTATTTGTATTTTGTTGTTGCTATTTGTTTTATTTTGTTTGGGGGCCAAACTTGGTTGTACTAAAGGGCAAAATTCCTGACTCAGTCCTTGAGGATCACTCTCCAGAGGTACTTGGAAGACCATGTGTGAAGCAATAGATTGAACCTTAACTTCCTGAAAGCTAAACATGTATTCCAACCTGTTGAGCCATGCATGGCTTCTTTAAACAGCATCTAGGGACATAGGCTGAAAAGCACAATATGTGTGAAACACGAAAAAAAGACCCACCCCTTAAGCATAACCATACTATAAACATTAGCTTATGGTTATAAATATTCTCAGCAACATTAATTCTAAATAGTATGAGAATAAATCTGTATTCTTCTTTATTTCCTTCTATGTATATTGGCAGCAGAAATCTTAATTGTTTCTTGTAGTATATATTTAGAACAGGGTTTTAAAGAATTCTTCATTGTTCTAAAGATATAAAATTGTTTATCATGCCTAGTGATTTGAATTTGTTACTTTGGGCTCCTTAGAATCAAGTTTGTAAAACCGCTACATTAGTCTGACAAAAATACTATATTGTAGATCAAAGGTCAGCAGACAAGGGGAATTATTTGCAACCAATGACAAGTAGATAGTATTATTACTCTATTAAGATATCTTATAGAACAGTAGACAAAATAAACGATTTTAAATGGATCAAAACAAAAACATAAAAATTTCAGAGAAGTGTGTTACTTGGAATACATATTACTGCACACATAATTAAAGAAACAGAAAGTACAAATTATAATAATATTCTTTTTAAATTATATAAGTATCTGTTCTTTCACTCTACAAATGCTTGCATGTTTACCATGTCCAAGAACTAGGTTAAGAATTCATAATACATAATGATTGAGAGATTATGGAGAGATAATATTATTATGTAGTGATAGCACAGAGGGTAGGGTGTTTGCCTTGCACATAACTGACCTGGGTTTGATTCCTCTGTCCCTCTCGGAGAGACCGGCAAGCTATGAAGAGTATCCCGCACAGCAGAGCCTGGCCAGCTCCCCGTGGTATTTCATATGCCAAAAACAGTAACTACATGTTTCACAATGAAGACATTACTGGTGCCCACTCGAGGGAATCGATGAACAACGGGAGAACAGTGCTACAGTGCTACAATATTATTATATCTCTTAGGGGAGAATAGCACTGTAGCACTGTCCTCCTGTTGTTCATCAATTTGCTTGGGCGGGCACCAGTAACATCTCCATTGTGAGATTTAGGGGGAGAATAAACTAAAAAAAATTGGAGGGATATTTTACAAGAAAATTAAAAAATGCATGCATGCCTTTGAGTATAAATTACACTTTCAGAAATGTAACTTAATGTAATACATCTAGCAGTAAGGAGCAAATGATATTTTTATTGGTAACAGTATATAAAACTTGTACCCTTCTTCACTGTGGAATAAAAAAGAGATTGAGGAATGTATGTATGTGTGTATGTGTGTGTGTATAAAAAGATGAAGAAATATAAAAACCTTTATGTGAGGAAGGAGATAGTTCATTATCTATATTTTTTCATATTTCCCATTTGAAAGTAAATTTTACTCATTTTTAAAAGCTTTAACAAAATAATATTTTTACTAAGAAGCATGAAAAGAAAAGTAGAAGAAAAAGTACAGAAAGCCTGAGAGGATGGAGACAAGATGAAAGGGAGAGAAAAAATTGATTAAAAACTTATTAATAAGGCATGTTGTTAATGATTGAACTGCTTTCTAATTCATTGCTTTTAAATGTCTTTATCTGACAATAACTTAATGATTCTGTCTTTCATATAAGTCCAGACTTTGCAAAGTTAAAAAGCGATTCACATTGAGTGACCACTGAGTAGTGAAAAGGACACCTAAACCTACTACAAGTGCAAATTAGAACAATCTCAACCACTGGAAAAAAAAAACCATTTATTATGACTTCTTATAATACATTTTACTTGTCTCATCACATAATACTTGATTGTGTTACATTGAAGCAGTGTTTAGCCATACAGACTCTGCGGTCTTAATTGACAGAACTTATCAGTAGTGATTTCAGTATTTCTCTATGTATATAATGCAAGCAACTTTTGCAAGCTACTTCTCTCGGTACCATTTCAGCACCCAGTGTATTAAAGAAGAAATTGATAATATCAAACTTGTGAGGATGTTTTTCAAAGTGAAAATTAAAGAAATTACATACAACAAATACAACAAAACAGCATATAAAAGTCCATACATTTTAGTTGTTATTAGTGATAAAACAAAAGAACTATATCCTGACTGTTTTTATCGATTGAATTTGACACAGATTTACTATAATTATTCATTTCATCCTAACTGAACATTTAGTTTAATATTTATTTTGCAATATTTTGCCACAGTGACATAGTTTTTTTATTTTGACATAGTAAGAAATTATAGATAACAAAATTTTAAGATAAAGCCAAATATAGATTATTTTTATGATTGACTTTAAACAGTTCACATTTGACTAAAAGTGAATTTATTAATGCATCCAAAAATACAAATACTTTCTAGAAAAGTTTGTACAATTTTATGTAACAACGCCAATGTAATATTATTTGCCATGTCATTAGACAGTGTTATGCAACTGAAAACAAATTTTAAATGTATCTGAAAACTTCAAATTAATGTTTATGAGTTTATTTCCCTCTAATTCAGCATGCAATTGCCATGGGAAAACTGAAGAATGCTATTATGATGAAAATATTGCCAGAAAAAATTTGAGTTTAAATATACATGGAAAATACATTGGAGGTGGTGTGTGCCTCAATTGTACCGAAAATACTGCGGGTATAAACTGCGAAACATGCATTGATGGTTTCTTCAGACCCAAAGGAGTAAGTATGCTTTCTTGCATGCAGTGTTTTTTTAATTTTTTTGCTTTTTTATGCAAAGATGTACTATGGTGGAAATAATTTTGATAGACTTCAAACTCTAAAAGGTGACTAGAAGTGTTTCATAATGGAAAGTGACAAATTTTTGAGAATATGATATAAAACATTTCAATCTCTCTGGAAAGTTCTTTTGTGGCTTATTTCAGTCAATCTCAACCCTCAGGCAAAGCTGTTCTGATTTTTAGAATATAAATTACATTTGCCCTTTAGTGACTTTTTAAAGATGAAATCATAAAGTCCATACAATTTGTATCTTTCTTCTTTCACTTAGTATTTTAAGATTCATCAATTTTGTGTACATCAATAGTTCTTTTAAAAAATACCGATGAGTAGTGTTCCTTTGTATGAAAGTATCACAATTTTTAATCTATTCTCCATTTGCTAGATATTTCAGTTGTACAAAAACAATGTTGCATGTCTCTTTGTGCTCATGTTTTATTAAGTTTGTGTCAATAACATATAAATGATGAAACTTCTGACAACTTGCCAAATAGTTATGAGATGATATATGTAATCCCTCAAAAGTTTGTATGTATTCATGTTTTTAGCTTTTTCTAATGTGTGTGATGATGACTATGTTTGTGAATTAGAGGGTATAGATGTAATTGATACAGTGGGTAAAATAGGCAATCACTATTTCCATCATTTGCGCTAAAGTAGATATTAAATTATGAATTTATAAGAGACCCTATTAGAATTGTATTTCCTTTTGAGGAGGGTGGAGACACTTGGTGGTGCTCAGGGTTTACTCCTGGTTCTGTGTTTAGGAATCACTCCTAGCACTGCCGAGGGAACCATTATTAGCACCTGGGAATGACTTTAGGTCAGCTGCTGGCAATGCACGTGGCTTACCCCTGTAATACCTCTTTGCCCCCAATATCTAATTTCCTTTTAAGTGGCGTAAGCTATTCTATTATTCTATATCTTCTTTTGTGTAGTGTCTGTTTTAGTGGAACTTTCTTATGTGAGGAATGGGGTGTTAATTCTAGAAACAATGTTTAGGAATATACTTATAAGCTACATTTGTAAGTAGCTTGAAATATTTTATACAATGTAGCACTGTAGCACTGTCCTCCTATTTTCATCGATTTGCTCCAGTGGGCAACAGTATCCTCTAAATTGTGAGGCTTGTTGTTACTGTTGTTGACAAATTGAATACATCTCAGGGAGCTTGCCAGGCTCTGCCATGCAGGCAGTAGACTCTCGGTAGCTTGGACGGATGGAGAAATTGAACCTGGGTTGGTCATGTGCAAGGCAAATGCCCTACCTGCTGTGCTATCGCTCCAACGCCTTTTATACAATACTCTTCTGAATTTTTTTTTAGGTCGGGGGCACACTAAGGATGCTGAATGCTCAAGACTCCTCACAGTGGTTCTTGTTAGACAGATTAGCTTTTCAGTGAGGGCCAGATATAGTACTGATTGGGCTCTCTGGTGCTGATTCTGATGAGCTTGGGGACCTACGGGCTACACACAGAGATTCTTAGGAGGCCCTGAGGTGCCAGGGATCAAACTGGAGTTGCTGTAAGAAAAGCCTGTACTTTAATCCCTGTACTATCTCTTTGCCTTTTTTGAAATTAGTTTGAAGAATTTGTTGAAATAACTTGATTAATATTTTTGCCAATTTCTGGATTTCCAGCTCAGTTCCATAAATACATGTCTTTTCCATTGCTAATAGCACAGTTATAGACTACTTTAGATTTACCAAGTCTAGAATTCATAAACATGCATTTGCTTTATTCATCCATTTGAAGATCATTTTGTCTGTAAAGGAATCGTCACATTTCCACGCAAATTTTAGAATTAACTTGTCAATGACAGACATGTTATTATGTTAGTTTTGATTGTTAAATAGAATCAGAAAACTTATGTAGAGAAAACAAATCTTTAAGAGTACTGAATATTCTAAAAATGAAATACAGTATATTTCTTAACTTCTTTAGATTTTCCTTCATTATCTACAACAGTATTTTCAGCATAGCAACCTTAAAATTATTTTATTAAATTTAATATTTTATTTTGAAATTTTATAAGTATACTTACATTTTGTTATTATTGGAAATATTTTTGAATATAGATGACATCCTGTATCTAAGTTCGGTTCATTTGTTAGTTCTGGAAGTTTTAAGCTAGTATATTTAAAAGCATGCACATGAGGAAGCATGGTGTCCTTATACAAATTGATATTTTTTCTTCCTTTGTAAGCTTCCTTCCTTTATCTGCTAATAATAACTAAGAATGTTAGAAACACACATCTGTGAATAATATCTCACCATTGTGTAGGATGTGATTGCAGAGTTTCAAGAATGCTTCTTATCACATTGAACAGGTTACCCACTAATCATAGGTTTCTGGGAAATTCTATATTATAGAGGCATGCAATTTTTCATATTTTTTCTATCTACTTCTCTGAATGTAAGAATTTTCTCCTTCGTTCTGTTAATGTGATCAACTATAGCTTAGGAGGTCCAAGTTCACACCATTTAAAATATATTTACCATACCACACCTACCAATATTTAAAGTACCACTGTCCCTCTAACACAGCACTATGCACCTCAATTCCCTTCTTTCCCTTCTCTCCTTCTACTAAATTTATTTCTGCAGTAGTAGTCTGTGGGATTGCTTTTGTATGGCTTTGTCTGTTCTATTGATTGACTTCTTTATATTTCATTGTGAATGAGATAATCTGTGTGTGTGTCTCTATTTCTACCTCTCTCTATCTCTATCTCTGTGTGTATATATTGTATATAATACGTCACGGTCACAGTTTTCCCGTTGTTCATCGATTTGCTCGAGCGGGCCCAGTAACGTCTCCATTGGAGACTTTGTTGTTACTGTGTTTGGCATATCGAACACGTCACGGGGAGCTTGCCAGGCTCTGCCGAGCGGGCGAGATACTCTCGATAGCTTGACGGGCTCTCTGAGAGGGGCAGAGGAATCAAATTCGGGTTAGCCATGTTGGCTACTTGTAAGGCAAACGCCCTACCACTGTGCTATCGCTCCAGCCCATATAATACGTATTATATCTATTATTAAATGTATATATATTATATACATTTTTATATATATGATTTCTTTATCTACTTCTATATCTTGGGGCATTTCTCTTATTTTTGTATCCTGGCTATTGTAAATAGTGCTGATATGAATATCAATGTGCATATATCTTTTAAATTAGTTGTGCTTGCTTTTGTGTTTGCTTAGATAGATCCCTGACTCTTGCTCAGGAATCACTCATAGCAAGCCTTGGGGGACCATATGTCATGCTGAGGATAGAATTCAGAATTCAGGTCAGCTGTGGGCAAGGCAAGCACCCTATTCACTGTACTATCTCTCTAATCCCAGATTGATTTTTTATTTTGGGGGGCCATATCTGATTGTGCTCAGGGCTTACTCCTGGCAGTACTTAGAGGTTAAGGGGATTTTACTTAGTTTTGGGAATCGAACCAAGATCAGCCACGTGCAAGGCAAATGCCCTAGTCACCCAGGAGTGGAATTGCTGACAATGGATGCTTTGAGAGGTTTCCAAGCCATTTTCTAAAGAGATTGAAGCATTTCCACTCATGGTTCCTCCTTCACCATGTCCTTCCAGTGCTTATTATGTTCAGTCTTTCCTATAGATCATTCTTGCTGTTGGGAGTGATATCTTACTCTCTTATTATTGAGTTGTAAGTATAATTAATAACTTTTCTATTAGCCCTCTCGTGCAAGTATGCAAATATTGTTTCCCAATTAGTAAGTTTCAGGAGGAAATTTTAAATTAAATTTGAGTTTTATAAACTAAAAGCTTTGAAGTTCTAGCTTCATGTCTTTTTAATTACAGGAGATACTCAGTTTAATGTAGCTCATTTGTTTACTTTATACTCTTTGCCATTGAGGTCATATTATTAAAGACACTTCTGAGGTTTAAGATATTGTAAACTCCTTCCTATATTTTCCACAATGTATTTCACATATATGTATACATATACATATATATATTTGTTATCAAGGTACTTAATCCATTTTGAATTAATCTTTGTGTTAGGCATGAGATAGGGATCTACTTTAAAGTTTGTTTGATATTTTATATATTACTAACCAGTTTTACCTCCACCATTTGTTAGAGAGCCTCTTCAAATTCCTGTTTAAATACTATTATTTCTATAAATGTTGCTTAACCTTACTGTATTATGTTATACTCTTTCCTTTATCTCATAATGTTCTGTTTGTATTTATATCTTACCACTTATTAAATTCCATTTATTCAAAGTATTTCAAGTCTGTTACTCCTGTGAAATCAGTTAAGAAAAATATTAGGACATTTCTATCTTTATTTTACGTAGTCATCATCTTATGGAAATATGATTTAATGTACATTAATGATAATTTTGAAACCATTAGGTATTCATAGCTAACTGATGTTTTCTTCAACTTGTAAATGACTAGTTATGACATTTTGACTAATATTAGCAAACACATTTCCATTTGTTAATTAAGCCTAGATGTATGTGTATATATATGTGTGTGTGTATATATATACAGATATATATGTGTGTGTGAAAACTATTCATAGAGGGAATAGATGATATATATTCAATAGTATTTCACCATATGTTCTTGTCCTATTACATGTAGAAAATAAATGATACTTATAAGTCTATTAGCACTATGCAGATTTCATTAAAATGTATAATATTAAAAACGCTAATTATATTTTGTGTTTACTATTTGTGTGGAACCTTATGAGATGCTTTATATGGTATTTATTGTCATTTATATTTAACATCATTTATATAGTTTCTATTATAATCCTCATTTACAAGGGCAAAACAGGTTACATAAGATCATATAAATAATACATGGCCACCTTGGGATATGAACCCTGATTTTCTTTTTAGAGGGGAGGATTTGTGTCTCACTGGGTGATCTCAGGGCTTCTGGCTCTATGCTCAGGGATCATTCCTGATAGTGTTCAGGATGTCCTGAGGTTTGAACTTGTGGATCATGTATGGGGGATTGACCCTGGATAGGAAGCAGGTAAAGCAAGTGCCTTAATTCCTACAATATATTTTTGGCCCTCGAGTTTTTTAATTGTGAGATAGATAGATAGATAGATAGATAGATAGATAGATAGATAGATAGATAGATTGTGCTCTGTTTTAGAAAACCAAGTTTTAATTTAAGTATTGAATATATTTTCTCAAGTACCAGATATAATTTGGTGGTGTGGGGGGTCAGTCACACTGGCTGTGCTCAGGACAAACTCATGACACTGTGCTCAGGGATGATTCTTGGTAGAACAGAGCCATGGACCATATGGGGAACTATGGTCCCCAAGTGATCAAACCCTGGTTGACTCCTTGCAGGGCAAATGACCTACCTGCTGTACTACAGTTGTGACCCCAAATATAAATTTATATTTAGTTACACAATAAAGCTTTTTTTAAATTTCATTGCTTATTTGATCCCAGGAAAGGTCAAATGGGACATTTCTTTTTATTTATTTATTTATTTTATAAATTTATTTATTGAATCACGTAAGAGCAGTTAGAAAGCTTTAGGGTTTAAGTCTCAGTCATACAATGATGAAACATCTGTCCTTCACCAGTGCATATTTCCCACCACCAAAAACCCCAGGATATCCTCCATCCCATCCCCTCCCCTACTTGTGTGGCAGAAGGTTTCCACATTACTCGCTCTCTACTTTGATTACATTCAATATTTCAACACCAGATCCACCATTATTATTTGGAACTTTGCTCCAACATTCACATCCTCTGAAAAGGCAACACTAGACAATCTGTTCTCCATTGTTGACAATGAATAGTACGCCGCACAGTTTTGAAATTCTGAAATCTTAATAATTAAAATCTGGAAGGATTTTGGTCAAAAGCCGCTGGGTTCCGAGATTTGTTTCTGAGTCTCTGGGATCATGGTTTAAGCTGCTTGTTGAGTAGCTAGAGGGCTCGTTTGTGGGCAGCAACTCGGGGTCTCATTGGGGTGGGGAGGAAAGGGCCCGCCCCGCCCCCATCCCATGAGGCCCCATGTGTCTCCTCACTGCGGACTCCCACCTGGCTGTCCATTGGACTCTGGAAGATGGCAGACCCCAAGCCGCCAGAGGGAACAGGCCAACGCACGAAACCCCTTCCCACCTGGAATGGCCCAGGGCTGGTCACCTATGCAGAGTCCAGACGTATTTCTGACAAAAGCCACTGGGTTCAGAGAATTGTTTCAGTGAGGCTTTTTAGATAATATATCAAGCAAATATTGGTACAGTGATATGATAATGAAAGAGATGCATACAGAAAAGTAGAGATTAAATTAAAATATTTTATTTGTGATATTTGTTTTAAAAATTCAGCATAGTATAAATGTGATAAAATTTACATGGCAATATCTTGGTAATTGTTGAGTTTAGGGAACAAATATCTGAGTTTGCCCTACTATCAGTTTTATTTCTAGATTCCATTTCAAAGAAATAAACCTTGAATAAATATGTGTTAAAGATAATGCATTATAATCACAATATAATTTATTAATTTGTATTATTAAAATTAGTTTATCCTTGAAAGCTTGTTGAATTGAAAGAATTTATAGGTATTTTTATTATATCAGATTAATAGTATTTTAATATTTTTTAGGTATCTCCAAATGATCCGAAACCTTGCCAGCCATGCAATTGTGATTCAATTGGTTCCTTAAACAAAGTCTGTGTAAAGGATATAAAGCATGCTAAACAAGGTGAGCGCAATAGCCAGGAATGCTATTTAAAGAACTAAACCAAATATGACTATATTCAGGAGAACATTTTGTGGTGAATTTTATTCCTCTCATTTTTTATATTCTTAAAGATTCCTCAGGAAACAAATTATATATGCATATACATATGTCTATATCTTAATAATTGCAGCCTTGTTTAATTATAATGTTTTAAAGGTGTTAATTTTTTGTGCTGCTTTATACACACATACATATATATGTATATATATATATGGAGAGAGAGAAAGAGAGAGAGCAAGCGAGAGAGAGAGAGAGAGAGAGAAACACTCACGTATTTGAGCTTTCTAAATGTAGGCACAGTGATTTAGAATACTGTTAATGATAGGATTCATGCATATGGCATCCCAACACTAGAGCCCTACCAGTTTCCACATCCCACCTCCACTATTTCATGTCCCTTCCTCCAACCCACTATTTCTTCCTGACACATGCATTTTTATCTAACTGTTCAAATATATATATATATATATATATATGTATATATATATCATCTGGCCAATCACACATTTGCAGTGCATATAATTTTTGTCTTGTTTAAATTGATTTGCAGCTTCTGTGATTTCTAGGATGAAATGACAGCATTTATTGCAGGATGTGCCTGTTGCAGTGGGAATAGAGAGATCGCCTACTGAGATGTAGTCAGTAATAAAAAAGCTTGAAGTGGACATATGGAACTAAAAATGATACTACTCACATGTTGTGGATAGAGAAGCTGACACCACTTACAAGCAATATTTTTTTTATAGTATTGAAGTTAATGATGATTTATGATGAACTCTGTATATTAAGGCATCAGCTGACAAAGTAATTCCTTGAGATAAAACATTTAGGCACTTTCTTTGCATCTTTTTAATTATTATTTTTTATTGTTTTAATTGAATTCCCATGACATATTCAATTGCAAAGTTGTTCATGCTTGAATTTCAGTCATACAATATGCCAACACCCATTCCTTCACCAGTGCATGTTTTCTGCCCCCAATGTCCCATTTCCCTTCTGCCCTCACCACCTCCTCCCCCAACCACAACCCATCCCCCCACAGCCTGTCTCTATTCTCCTCTCTCTCTCTCTATCTCTCTCTCTTTCTCTCTTTCTCTCTCTTTCTCTCTCATTTTCCCTTTAGGCACTGTAGTTTGTAATGCTGTCATTGAATAGGTATCATGCATATCACTTTATCTCCTTTCAGCACTCAGTTTTTGTACAGAGTGATCTTTGCATCTTTGAGTGTAGAATATCTGAGCTGGAGACATAGTACAATGCCTAGGGTGTTCCTTTTGCACCCTGTGACTTGAGTTTGATCCTGCAGCCAAAAGGGTTTCCTGAGTCCTACCAAGAGTAATCCCTGAGTGCAGACTCAGAAGTTGCTTGGTTTTGTTTTAAGCAATAATGTTTTTATTCCCAAGTCATTTTTCCATGTTACCATAGTTTAAAGGTAATTATGAGCAAAGGGTATGTATAGGTTATGCTTATCTTTAACCTATTGTCATTATGCAGTTATAAAAATTACTGCTTGATCCTTGTCATTTATATAAAAATAATTTTCTACTGTGTTGGTTTGCTGACACTTTTAAATTTGATCTCTATATTTCTCATTCTTAATACTTTAGTGATACACAAAAGAAGCTGTGTTAGGGAACTTCTAAAGAGACCTCATATATTTTGACTTTAGCTACTCTATTTTAATGTACATCGATAATCTAGTTTTTAAAATATCAAAAGTAGGATTAAAGATCACTTTGTTGAAGATCTTTGGAACTATAGGACACTTTCATTTTTAAAATGTTGACCCATCTTTCCTTAGGTCTGCCCCCTGGGTCCTGCCATTGCAAACCTGGCTTTGGAGGAGTGAGCTGTGAACGGTGTGCCAGAGGCTACAAGGGCTACCCAGATTGCAAACCCTGTAACTGCAGTGGTGAAGGAAGCACAAATGAAGACCCTTGTGTTGGGCCCTGTAATTGCAAGGTACAACTTTTCCTCTGGTTAGACCCCACAGTCAAAATATCAGGTCATTGTCCTTAACATCTCTGTTTTATTTGCAGGTATCAGGCAATTGCAAAAAATCATGTAAATATCTAGAATCTATTCAATATGTGATGCTTAAAACACTATCAGCTTTAATAAAACAAGACAACTATCATTTTTCTGAAAGCAAATAGACAAAAGACAAATCACTTGAAGAATCATTTTTATAGTAAAATCAGTTTCCCAACCAATTTCTAATCTAATCTTTATTTTTAAATATGCAGCAATGAAAACAGTTACCTTTAAAACTATACGCAGAAATCTACTATGACTTTATAAGCAAGTATAAAAATAAATTTATCAAGCATTTTATTTCAAAATTTTAAAGTAGATTATTCAATTTGAATCCACAAAGTCTAAAAATACTATTTTCAAAATCCTGTGTTTACTTACCAAAAACTGTAAGAAGACTAGTGGAATTGACAAAGGGCTTACTATTTCCTCACCAGAGTTTAATCTTATAAACAAAATATTATTTTTTAATATTCAGTTAACATATTATGAAAGGGAGAGTAATAAGATAGTTGAAAGGAATAAAAATGATCAGCTTTAGCTAAGTAATCAGTCCTGCAATATTTTCCGGTTGATCAAAATTAGTACTGTAGCACTGTAGCACTGTCCTCCTGTTGTTCATTAATTTGCTCGAGTGGGCACCAGTAACATCTCCATTGTGAGACTTGTTACTGTTTTTGGCAAATGGAATATGCCATGGGGAGTATGCTAGGCCCTGCCATGCAGGCAGGATACTCTTGGTAGCTTGTCGGGCTCTCCAAGAGGGACAGAGGAATTGAACCCAGGTTGGCCATGTGCAAGGCAAACGCCCGACCTGCTGTGCTATCACTCCAGACCAAAAAAGGAAAAAAAATAATACTAGCTCTATTAATTACAAGAATTAGCAAGGTAATAAAAAAGTTGGCATTCCATACTGATGCAGAAGCAAAATATTACTTCCATTTTCTTTGCTTTCATTCATAGATGAAAGTTGCTAAGAATCTTCCCTTTGCTTAAGTGGGAAGCACATATTTTGCATGTGTGAGGCCCTGGGATTGAGCCCAGGAATTTTGTGCACTCCTTGCTAGCCTAGTATACCTATTCTAGACTGCTGGGTGTGACTTTCTAAATGTCAATGGCATCAACAACTAAAAAGAATATTTCAATTGTTGTCTTATTTGTCTTATCTTGGCAGTTGTAAGTCATGTGTTTATAATTGTCAATGTGTGCACATCTGTTAGAAACACAAACCAAAATGGAGAAAATACTGGTATCAATGTTAATAAATATTGGAACAAGAGAATCTTGAAGATCAAGCTGACTATCTTAGTTAAATGATATGTGTATTAGAGTATTTAGTTATGTATCTTAGGAAACTGAAAAAAATAACATCATCTATATGTAAACAAGCAGAGAGCCCAGTGCATGGCAGACGGTTGTCATGTACAGGCATATAGTAAATTGTCTCAACTTAGGGGCCATAGAAAGAACTTAACAGGCTGAAGTGCATAATTTGCATGCATCAAGTACCAGTTCAATTCTCTACATAGATGATTCCCTAAGCATCAGCAGGGATGGCTTTTATTTGTATTTATTTATTTATTTATTTTTGTTTTTGCTCCACACCCTGTTGTGTTCAGGGCTTATTTCTAGCTCTGCACTTAGGGATCACTCCTGGCTGTGCATGAGGGACCGTACATGCTGGGATACTGGGATTATTGAATCAAATCAGCTGAGTGCAAGGCAAGTGCCTTACTGACTGTACTGTGTCTCTAGACTAGGGATGACTTCTAAGCACCAACTGTGGTACCAAGCAATGGCAGGTTTTCACTTGCTCCCACACACACCAAAACAAAATCAAACAGAGACCAGAGAGATAGTATAGCAGGAAGGCTCTGGCCTTGTATCTGTCTGACCCTGTTTCCATCCCAAGTACCAAAAATGTCGTGAGAGCACTGCCAAGAGTGATTCCTGAGCATGGCAACAGGAGTAAGCTCTGAGCACATGTGTTTATAATTGTCATATGTGTGCAATTTTGGGACCAGCCCCCGAACCCAAACCAACCAAACAAAAACAAACAGAAAATGTCTATATATAGTCCATTTCATTCCCAAGTTATGTAAAATTAAAAATGATAACATTAATGCTGCTCTAGCAGAATGAACTGTATAGCAATCTGTGAGTAACCATGCGTTTAACTTCCCCATTTTCTGCCAGTCTATTGCGTCTTTTGGGGCAACCAACCAACCCTTACAGGCTCCTAGTATATCTCTAATATTTACCAAAATATACTCTGTGTGTTTTATTCCCTTTCCAAATCTCTGCTGAAATCTCTGTCTTCTACAGCTTGTTTAAATAAAGGATAGACAAAGCTGAGTATAAAATGGAAGAGAAAACTCCCCAGGGTCTAGAATGTAGAAAGTCAAATGAGGAGGAGGTCTGGGGGGGAGCATTTTAATCCACCTGGTGTTTATAAGGAAAGAATAACCAGCATACCAGGGAGACTGACTTCATTTTCTTCATTTTTCTAGTAAAGATAGTGAGAGGAGCTGCAGCAGGAGAATGGTAGCCATTAGCAGAGCTCTAGGGACAGCTCCTTGAGCTCCTGTCTATTCTCTGTCAGACATGACATTGTACTAAGAGTAATTATGATCCTAACAAGAAAAGCACCTCCTGCAAAGATATTTTGTTACATGCAGAGAATTAAAGCATAACAATAAACAGCAATGAACGGCTCTTTAACGAGAATGAAAGCTTTTGCCATATCATTCAGAGCTGCCCTTTAAAAGGGACAGGGTCCAGACTGCCATTTCAGGAGAATCTATGCTTACTTCCTCTCCTATTAAGAATATATTCAGACTGATATACAAAGTGGCTGATCCGAAACCTTGATGAGCAAAGCTTCTACAATAAGAATGAAAAGGGGAACACCTAGATGGATGAGGGACAGAGAGGTGCTCCCAAGAAGGAAACCCCACCACAGCGCAACAAGAGCAATGAGAAAGGAGGTTCTAAGATGGTCATTAGGTTCCTGCAATCCACATCTGACTGTTAGCAAGCAAGTCAGATGCTTGGCTCCAGACACAAAGTGCGCTGCGGTGCTCCCCAAATGTATGTAGCGTGAGAATCGATTATTTGAAAAGTCAGAAGATAACGAGGATTCAAACATTAAAAGGAAGAAATTAAAAATTGTGAAACATTGAGAGTTTCTTAAATTATTTTCTATTTCTTAATCAATAAATTGGTATCAAATATCTCTTGCATTAATCCCAGGTATAATACTAGAGTCTGCATAAATACAAGTAAAACCTGTATACATATAATCTTAAATATCTACTATATATTTTTGTTTATTTATATTGTTTTTCTTTTAAGAATAGATAGCGTTTTCTTATTTTCCCTACTAGGATTTTTACTGTGTTTGCTAACATTTTTAATTGGTTTTGAATTTGTCTCCTTTCTACTTACATATAAGAATGATCACCTCATTAACTTGTTAGACATGAACCCCAGGCATTTCAACAGAAAGTCCTTTAATTTAGTTGTTTTTATCCTCTTTACCCCTGTGGACTGGCACTGATGCTCAGATTAGTGGTTGAAAATCATTGTCATTTAAGTGACAGTAACTTTTTCATTGACTGTCAGGAAATTCCTGTAAATGAGCACTGGTTCTGACAGATACTAGATGACAAAGAGGAAGTTGAAAACCGTTGTATTAATTTATATATTTGACCCTGAATCTAACTTACATATTTAAGATTTTTCATGTGAAAAGAGCACAAAGAATTTTTTCTCTTGCAATTGCTACCACTCAAAAATAGTGTAATAATTCTTTAAATATTGAAAGTCAAGGATGTTAGTGAAAAGTGAAAATTAATTTCTGTTTTCTCTTTCTCCTCTTCCTAATCCACTATGTATTATTTAGCCTAGACACAGTGTATTTACAGAATAAGCACTCAACAAATACTGCTAATTAACTAATTATCCCTCCTTTTGTTGCATCTTTTAATACTAGTATTCAGTAGAATGATGCCCATAGCAGAGGAAAGTCTATAATTGACTACAAATACCCTTAAAAAACAAACATGACTGCAAAATTTCTAAAGCAATTATCACAAAAAATACTTAAATGTCACTGGAGATTTTCCTGGTAGCTTTGTCAATGAAATTCCCAGTTGACTAACAATCACAGTTAAACACGTACTGCTGAAGTTGTACCTAATTTATAAAAAAGCTTCTTCATGAGAAAGAGTTCAGGGAAACTATTGAGACATTATTTCTCTAGAGAGAAACTGTACCGAGGAAACTATAGCCCAAAGAAAATTGATGTCAACAAAACAGTTTCTGACTTCAAGAAAGAAATAACACCTAGGAATCTTTTTCTAATTCATGTTTGTTTTTAATGAGAATTACTACCAAAGAAATAAGGAATAATTGTTACAAAAATTGTTGTCACGTATGCTACTCTGCATCATTAGATAATAAGTTAAATATGTTCAACTGAAATATATGTCTGAAATTTCTCCCTATGAAGATGAAAATAATTTTTGAAAGGGGAAAACTATCTTTCATGCAGAAGCATTTATATAATGTATCTGGATAAATCATATATCTATATATCTGTAATATTAAGCTTTCATGGTGAGAAGATTATAATGAAAAATTATTAAGAATGTTTCTCAGAGACATGAAAAATAGGTGGAGAGTCCAAGCAGGTCAAGTGACATCTATTATTATAACAATATGTAAGAATACTTATATAGATTTATTATTTACAATGGGAAATATTGACTATTATTAATTCCTATTTTGTTTTTGATAATACACCCTATTATAATAATGGTTTATATAAAAAAAACATTTGGTTTAAGAAAATAAGGTGATATAAAAGAACATTAATCTCTAGGGAAAAATTTTACTGAATTCAGAACATTTCATTTTTCATCATC